CGCTTCCTCCACATCCATATACCTACGCATACACGCTCGTCGGTTAAAGGTACTCTTGATTTGGCCCATTTTTAATATATCGCCAATTTGGTCGATAAACTTTCGCCTAGGGCGACCCTTCCCGACTATGCCGTTCACCTCTGCAACATAAATTTGCTTTGTCACTCTTTCCTCATTCATTCTTTCTACATGGCCAAACCACCGAAGCATTCCTTTCTTAATCCTGGTCACAACATCATCTTGCAAACCACACTCTTCTCTTATTAAACAATTTCTCACTCTGTCATTCAGCTTCATCCCTAACATACTCCTTAATGACCGCATTTCTACAGCATTTATTCTACTCTCATGCTTCTTCTGCCACACCCAACTTTCACTACCATACATTAAAGTAGGTACTAACACAGCATTGTGAATTGCCATACGTGCCTTTTTGGACACATTCTGACTTTTCACAATAGAGTGTAGAGCCCCATTCACTCTATTTCCTGCATTCACTCGTCGTTCTATATCCTTATCATATCTACCATCCCTGCTAAACACACATCCCAAATATACAAACTCATCTACTTGCTCTACCAACTCCCCTTCTATTCTTATTTCACATATCGTTTTACTTTCTTCTCTTTCAAAAACCATAACTTTCGTCTTACTTGCGTTCACTTTCATTCCCTTTTCTTTTAATGTCCTGTTCATTAATGTAACCATCATTTGCAACTCGGCTGCCGACGACGCAAGTATGACTTGATCATCGGCGTACAAAAGGCATTTGACGGTTAACTCACCCATTCTTAACCCGCATTCTTCTACTTTCAAATTTTCCAAACAACTGTCCATAAATAGGTTGAACAACCACGGGGAAGCCACACAGCCCTGTCTGACACCTTTATGGATGTCAAACCAGTCCGAGTAGGCCCCGTTGATCCTGACACAAGCACTAGAGTCCCTATATAGAGACTTCAATGCCTGTATCAGACCAGCGCTCAACCCAAATGAGTTCAGTGTTTGCCATAACACATCCCTGTCCACTCTGTCATAAGCCTTCTCCAAGTCCATGAACGCACAAAAAACTTTTTGGTTTTTGGCCAAAAACTTCTCGGCGATCATGCGCATGGAAAAGACCTGATCCGTACATCCCATTCCCTTTCTAAATCCCGCTTGCACATCCCAAATTTTTCCGTCAGTTTCTTTCATAACTCTTTCAATTAGTACCTTAGCATACAGTTTTCCCACAATGCTAAGAAGGCTGATACCACGGTAGTTTTTACAGTCCTGCTGTGATCCTTTTCCCTTATATATTGGGACTATCACGGCTTTGCACCAGTCTCTCGGTACCCGCTTAAGTTCCCAACATAAATTAAACAAGGTGTACAGCAGGTCTGCCACCACTCCTTCTCCAGCCCTTAGCATTTCGAGAGATACTCTATCATAACCAGCTGCCTTACCTACTTTCATACTTTTCATTGCTTTCATTATTTCATCTATACTTATATCTCTATTTCTTCTATCTATTTCCTCTTCTTTCGGAATTTCTATTTCATTTAATTCAAACGTCTCATCACTCATAAACACGCTTTCAAAGTATTCCTTCCATCTCCTTAAACTCAAAACTTCGTCATTCAGAATACAGCCATTCTGGTCTCGTATAGCATTCATTCTAGGCTGTTGTGAGTGTCCCCTGGTAGTTCTTACGAGTTTCCAGAACATTTTAATGTTTTCCTGGAAGTTATCCGATATTCTTCTATCATTCTTATCCGTTCTTTCTTGCTTTTTCCTTTCAACTACTTCTTTTACTCTCTTATTTAGGTGTCTAAAAACCGCCTTTTTCCTTTCAATATCATCATTCATACTGCTAGAATTACTAGCCTTGGTTGCTAGTAAATCTAGCCATGCTTTCTTCTTTGCTTCAACTTCCATCCGTACCTCATCATCCCACCATAACGTGTTATTTTTCCTTTCATTCGTTCTCTTGCTTACACCACATACTTCGGTAGCTGCATCCACTAAACCTTTCTTGACATTATACCACACAGTCTCCAAGTCTAAATCATTCATACACAATTCAGCCATACCACTTATATTTTCTCTCAATCTACATTTGAACTTCTCTTTCACACCTTCATCTTGTAGCCTCTCTGTTTTTATACGCTGTAACGCTGTGGTAGACACAGATGTCCGATGCCTCCAACGTCTGAAAAGACCATTAATTCGGCATAAGACCAAGTAATGATCCGTCCCTACGTTAGAGCCCCGGTAAACCCTTGTATCTACCACCGCGCTCCTCATTCTTTCATCAACAATTATGAAATCTATCATACTTCTATCATCACCTCTTTCCCATGTATACGTGTGAATCTTCTTATGACGAAAGAAAGTGTTCGTCACAACAAGATTCTTTTCCACGCATACGGCGAGAAGGCTTTCACCATTCTCATTTATACTTTCATCACCAAACGTTCCCAATATCCTTTCATAACCAAGCCTCCTCACCCCAACCCTTCCATTAAAATCGCCTAATATCACAATATTTTCATTAACCTTGCATTTCATTAGCACCATCCTTACCAACTCCCAAAACTGCTCTCGGATATAAGTGGGCTTAGACATGTCTGGGGCGTAGACCCCTAAAACAAACAACTTCTTTAAGCCCACTTTCATTCGTATCCATAGCAGTCTCGGGCTTACACATTCATACTCTTTTACACAATGACCCATTCTTTCTGAAAGGATGATACCGACTCCCTGGCATGCCCGCTCGGTCTCGTCTACACCAGACCAGTACGCGGTATACATGCCATGTGTAGTGGCATCCTTTCCCTTCCGTTTCGTCTCATTCACACATAACACGTCTATTCCTCTATCATACATCATATCGCATACTTCATCCATCTTATCATTCATTCCTCCACATACGTTCAATGTAGCCAGACGGGCTTCCGCAATCCACTTTTCGCCCCTCCGGGGGACAGAACGTGACGGGTGGCGAACCTCGTCGCCGGTTTTCCTCCCGGAGATTCTTCGCACCCCTGCCCCATTAAAGGGGCGCCGGGAACTCGGGGCCATTTCTTTAATATTTTGCCTCATGGTGCGAAAGTAAGTTGTGGTATTTTTTTACGCCGCTACCACACGGCGAGGAGCCGAGTCAGTTTTTTTCGTCTTTCGGCTTTGTCGCTCGTTTAGCACCACCCGGGGGACACGCGTAGGGTGGGCCTAGGATTAGGTGGTCGAAGCCTACGGACGCGAGCGACTCATCCCCCCGCGAGCGACTCATCCCATATACATGTTATAATATAAAGTAATATTATAAAAAAAATCCCCTCACCCCGCAAATTGTCACGCGTTATTACATAGTGATTGTGAAATCTTAAATCTCGATGATGAAATAAATGGCAACACCGAAGCGAAGCCGGGGCGTGCCACTAGCATTCAATAACAGATGTGCGTTTGTTCGCTATTTTTATTTATTTATTATTTATTGAATCCCTAAAACAAAAGAATACAAAGTGCGGACTTAATGCTTAATTCTCCGTAACTCCTTTAGTCGACTGCGAGCGGGAGAGAAGACTAGTTCTTTGTTTTGTAAACTGCGATCGTTGTTTTCGACAATCTAACACTGACTTTGTTTAATGTGACTAAGAATACGCTGTCATTATTTATGTGCGCAGTTTGTCAACGTGATTTGAAGTTTATTTCATATAAGTGTGTAACGTATTTGCCTAAAAGCAGTAACTGTCGTAAATGAAAATATAACCGCGTGCCATATTTACCGTGCCGGCTACCCGCCCGCGTGATCCACAGCTGTCACACGGTTTTTGTTCTGAATTGCCGCTCTAATAATAAACAAAGAAGTCTTTGACTTAGGTATATAGAATTTAACAAAAAGTTCAAACAATACATTTCACTTTACAACAACACCTAACTAAACAAAGCCTCTGCAAGAAAACTGCCTTACAGTACTTAAACTGTAAAGTTTTATTAATACAAGTCAAGGTAAAACTAATAAAAACAATGTCCACACGTTAAAATAAATAACAAAATCATTTCCTTCATTAGCATAAGATAATCTATAAGATCAAAGTAAACAAAAAAAACATTAGCGTAAGATATAAACTTTCAAATATGAAACAAATGGGAGGTTAGTGGAAACAGCCCAGACCATGCTTTTTTTATTTAATTGATTGCTAATGTTTTTCCTTTTTTCGTTTCGTTGTTTATTGTGTTCTTGTTAGAGAGCCTATTAAAGTCAACTGCTGATGCTGAACATAGGCCTCCTCCATAGATTGCCTCATGGGGGGGGGGGGGGGGGATATTTGCCATAGTTGCCACGCTTGGCAAGCGGGTGGGCAACACGGTTTTTTTTATTTTATTAGGAAGACGCTGCTGCCCAGCCCCTGATTTGTTTCTCTCTGTCGCCTCTAAGACACACACGGGATGATAAGGGCTAGTGGATATTCTTATATCTATATCTATATATTATATCTAGGCGACGGAGGAAATAAACCAGGAGATGGGCAACAGCGTCTTCCTAATGACAAATAAAAATAAAAAAACCGCGGTTGCCAACCCAACATGCATGGCAACTATGGCAAATATCCCCCTATGAGTCAATCCGTGGGGGAGGCCTATGTTCAGCAGCGGACTTTTATAGGCTGTAACGGTAACGATAAATGTCGAAACGAATAAATAAAAACAAACTAGTATGTATTAAAAAAAATTTTAAAAATAACATGAAGGTCTGGTCTGTTTCCACTAACCACTCGGTACATATTTCAAGGTTCGATTTCACTTGGTTGCTTCTTTGGTTTTTGAATTAGCTTCTTCAGAATAAATGCAGTTTCAATTAGCACATATGGCACGGAAAGGTTTTTCTACTCGTTCTACAGTTACATAAGGAACTCATGACAAATAGATTTTTATCTAGTATACTTTTATATTTATATAAAACACGTTTACATAATATTGCACATATTTTACCAGATCTCTCACAAAACAGGTTCTGCTCAAGTGTGTGTTTTCATATGCCTTTGCAAAACACTTTTTGTAATACATTTATTTTCGCAGATATTACACGAAAAGGGCTTTTCTCCAGTATGTATTTTCATATGTGTTTGCAACATATCTTTTCTAATACATTTATATTCACAGATATTACATGAAAAAGATTTTTCTCCAGTATGTATTTTCATATGTGTTTGTAAATTACTTTTTTGAATACATTGATATTTACAGATATGACACGAAAAAGGTTTTTCTCCAGTATGTATTTTCATATGTGTTTGCAACTTATCTTTTGTAATACATTTATATTCACAGATATTACATGAAAAAGGTTTTTCTCCAGTATGTATTTTCATATGCCTTTGCAAATCACTTTTTGTAATACATTTATATTCACAGATATTACATGAAAAAGGTTTTTCTCCAGTATGTATTATCATATGCTTTTGCAAGTACCTTTTTTCTATACATTTATATTCACAGATATTACATGAAAAAGGTTTTTCTCCAGTATGTATTTTCATATGCCTTTGCAAATCACTTTTTTGAATACATTTATATTCACAGATATTACATGAAAAAGGTTTTTCTCCAGTATGTATTTTCATATGCCTTTGCAAAACACTTTTTTGAATACATTTATATTCACAGATATTACATGAAAAAGGTTTTTCTCCAGTATGTATTTTCATATGCCTTTGCAAATCACTTTTTTGAATACATTTATATTCACAGATATTACATGAAAAAGATTTTTCTCCAGTATGTATTTTCATATGTGATTGCAAACTACTTTTCTCTATACATTTATATTCACAGATATTACACGAAAAAGATTTTTCTCCAGTATGTATTTTCATATGCCTTTGCAAATTCCTTTTTTCTATACATTTATATTCACAGATATTACATGAAAAAGATTTTTCTCCAGTATGTACTCTCATATGCTTTTGCAAATAACTTTTTTCTATACATTTATATTCACAGATATTACATGAAAAAGGTTTTTCTCCAGGATGTATTTTCATATGCTTTTGCAAATAACTTTTTACTATACATTTATATTCACAGATATTACATGAAAAAGGTTTTTCTCCAGTATGTATTTTCATATGCTTTTGCAAATGATCTTTTTTTATACTTTTATAATCACAATTATTACAACAGTACACTTGTTCAGCGACGTGCGCGTTAAGATGTGCCAAAATGCAACGTTTTTGAGATGTTTTAAATTCGTAAATATCACAATTAAATATTTCCGTTACTTGTGGTACTGGAGTTTGTTCAACTTGTGCCCGAACTGCAGTGGTGTTCTTTTGGTTCTTTTGCGTCTTATGACTGTATGAAATGTGTTTGGCGAGAATGTCTTTTGTTGAAAATTTTTTGCTACAACCATCACATTCAAAAATGTATTTTGTTGATGCCCCTGACGTGTTGTTCGTAAGCATATTTACACTCTTTTGTTTCAATGTTTTCTTTCTCATAATATTTGCAGGATGCTTTCCTTTTTTATTAATTGGTTGATTATCTTTTTTGACTTTAGGCTTTGATTTAATAGTAGGGCTTTCTAAATCGAGGTTTCCTTTACGAACATCGTTTATGTTACAATCAGTAGAATCTGAACGCATTCTCTATCAGTCAACCAGGGAGAAATAAATAAATTATAAAATTACATAATTATACAATGTTGCTAGATATAAAGTATTTTACTTTTAATAATGTCTCTCATATTCATTTTTGGAGGGAAAGAATGGTAGAGAAACTAAATTCGAATGATAATGATGACGTTCTTCTCACCATTTTACAATTACCTACATAAATCTAATAATAGATGCTTCGAATCGCACACAGGACAAGCATTATACAGAATGATTGGAAGATTGACTTGTTGATTGAAGAAGATCATTTAGGCCATAGTTATTTTAGACAGTCTGACTATACTTTTTGTTTTTGGTGAGAAAACTAGAAATTTTACAGTTAATTGCTAATAATTGCCAATTTAATTAACGTCTGTTTTTTTTAAAATTTAAGTAATGAATAAGAAATCTAAGAAAACATAGTTTTGGCATCTGTGTCATCACTATACATATTTTTGTACAGACACTAAGTTCACGAAAATTTTCTACGATTTAAAGAAACATAATTAACATTTTAAATAAAAAACATTATTGACACTACGTTAAAAAAAAACTGATGGTACTTTAATTTATTGTTAGAACCTTTTTTGAAAACATGCTTGGTTATTACTCTTTCATTTGAGGTATAACTTACACGCATTTGTTACAAATTTTTCAATTGTCCCCTAAAACCAGATTGAGGTAGAAAATTTAAATTTTTAGGCAGACTAATAAAAATTCTAATTATTTATTTGTTGATGCTCAAAATAATTGATGTGATTACTACGAGTAACACAAGCACAGGCCCGTCGTCTCACTTCTGTTGTAGTTACTTTCAACATCATGGTTTCAAATGCTGAATTAATTCTTTGAAATTTGAAATTCCGGCCATATAGCTCGAAGAAATGACAATGAATGAGGAAGTTTTACGAGTGGCAGCCTCGTACCAGTAGTCAAAGTGTAGGGCGGCTCTCCATTAGATGGAATGATGACCTGGTAAGAAATGCAGGAAGGCGATGGATTCCTGTGCTTTGTGGCATTCCGTGGGTGAGACCTATGTTGCACGCACTGCTATTTGACGGCAGAAATAGGTAAGAGGAGGAGGGAGGAGTCCATCTGGGCAGGCACAAATAGATCAACTCCTAGGCAAACATGGAGTCACACCACCTAGTACTGACACTAAGAAGATGGCAAAGATAATTGGTTGCTTACCAGTATGTATCTTAGTGACATACATACTAGCTGACAGGGTAAAAATATTTTTTTTAATGTATTAATAAGAGTGCTTTTGACACGCACTTTGAATTTAGACAAAGGCAAATCAGTAAATCAGTACATTACACATGAAGCTCTTTATTTTGTGTCTACGGGCTACAGTAACCACTTGCCATAAGGTAAATTGTACCTTATTTTAATAATATCAAGAAAAGGGGTATATCTTACCTGTTTCATGATTCTCATTTTCTTCAAATTTGGAATTCTCATATTCGAAAATCTCTTCCTCAACTTTAACGGCATCAAGGCAAAAAATTTCGTCCTTGCAATCATTGTCTATATCATACTCTACAGGCCAGATATCTATATGATAAATTGGTGTGAATTTAATCTCACCCCTAACCTTATGCGGTTTTGGTATTGACTGAAAGGAAATAATTTTTTCAAATAAGAGAAAAAGCGACTATAGTGGTGGAGTAGGAGAACCCATACTACCCCTGCCATCCCGCAGATGTCGTAAAAAGGGGCAGAGGGAAACTGAAACAGGAGATCGGAGGGCAGCATCTTCCTGACAACAACTTCAAATAATAATAAACACCGGACAAAAGTGAGGGTTCAGCGTAAACTTAAATAAAAATGTACATAATTCATCTATCCCGAGAATCGAGTCTCAACAACTTTTGGATTCAGATTCACGAAAGCTGTAAATTGACAAAGATTTATCTTTGTTTATTGAGATTTGTTTATATACTATAGGGTAATATATAACAGTATAAACAGTTTGATAATTGTTTTTGTAAAAATAAGTACTATTGCTCTAACAAAAGTAAGTTGGATTGAAGGACTAAACTTAACTTTACACTAGAAACATTCTCCCATATAGCAATGGGAAGCAGCATAGAAAAGTGGATTGTGCAGTGACAGTGTAAGAATATCCACTATCACAGGGTTGGCAACGATTTATTGATATATATATGGTATTATTAGATAATCACTTATTATTTAAGTAAATAATTAAAACAAACATTTATTTACATTGTAAGTCTTACAACACTAACTTATACTTCAAGTACAAACAATTGAGCAAACAAATTCAATGGGAGTTTTGGCTTTGCATGGTTTTAGAAAGTTTGGATAAATTTGGCTCATAACTTGTTGTTTTAAGTTTCAAGCACGAATCTGAATTTTCATTTGTTAGTTGGCTTCTTACTTTACTTTTAATTATATTCATGCAAGAGAAGGCTTGCTCGCACGAATATGTCGATCCGAAGATAGTATGCACTCCAAATGCCAACTTCTTCACCTCACTATAGCAATCTGGAAGACTATTCCACGCGTCAAATATAACTCAACACGCAGCCTTTCTTTTAAAGCTGTTCATTTTTGTTGCGTTACGTACATACATTTCTGGACCTCCAACTTTTTCAACTTCCTTATCAACTCTGTAAATTTTCAACTCCACAAAGCTTTACTTTTTAAATCGATCAATTGCATTTCTAGGGATCCAGTGTCAACCCCAAATGGCTCAGTATGGATCGATTTATAATTTTTTTTTTATAAAATAAATAATATTTGCGTATGAAACTAAAGAGCCGCAGCTTCACATCCAAAGAGCCGCATGTGGCTCGCGAGCCGCAGGATGCCGACCCCTGCACTATCCTATATAACTATCTACGGGATGGGTGTCGTAAGAGGCAACAGAAGGAAACAGAAACAGAGGTAGGGCGGCCGCATCTTCCTGATAACAACTTAGACTAATATAAACTACGGTTGCCAACTTGCCAAGCGTGGCAAATTTGGCAAAATCCCTCCTATGAAGCAATCTATGAGTGAGACCTATGTTCAGCAGTGGACTTTTATATGTTTTAATGGATGGGATGGATAATACCATGGATCCTCCTGAAAGCAACTGCTCCAGGACCACATTTGACTCAATAGCCTGTTGTTGTAATCTTCTGCAACAAATGAGTCTTGCATGACAGGTGAAACAAACAATTATGGGCCCCTCATTCTCATCCATCTGAAAATATGAAAATCTTCATAAATATGAAATAGTATTCAAATATGTATATAAGTTTGTAATAAAGATTATTGGCTACCACATTTTAATTTGTCAACATCACTTTTTATAATATTGAAGTGACAAATAAACTTACCATCTAGTAAGTGACTAATGGGCATCATGAGCACCTGCAACGAACTTCAAGCAATGGCTACAGATGCAATGTTACCTCTGAGGAGTAAGATGTAATGCATCACAGCCTGGCTCCCGATGTCCTTCAGACTGGGACACATACTGCTGCTTGGTGCCAGATAAATGATAAGAGGATGATATCTAGACAGAAAGAAACTCCTGCGGTTCCAAGCCACCTACATCTATCAACTACATTACCTACATTAACTTCAAACTACTATCATCACTTAGAACATTACAAATACTTCTCTTATCACTCTAAGTAATCTGATAATGCTTGTGGTAGGAGGATATTGAAACAAAACACAGGGTGGTGGGTAGTACTAGACATTCTGTGAAAGTGTATTACCACCCCGGTCGAGCCAACCCATCCATGATACAACCATAATATAGCTCCAGCCCGGCTCTACCACATATAAAATAATGATAATAATTCTTTCTACTCTATTCTCTCATTTTAATAGTCCGATAGAACTGTTTTAATTTGCTGAACAACCAAATCAGGGTAAATGTCAATTTCTTGATAGAAAATCACAATAATAGACATTCAAGTAATATGTACTAGAACAGACACCAGGAACAAAATCTATGCAGCAGTGCGGGTTGCATGGAAGGAATGGAGGGAGAATGTAGTACAATTAAGACCCAGATATTTCACACTTCAATAATCTACACGCTCAGCTTTGGAAAAATCTAGTAGACTGTAGACAAGCTAGGGAGGCCCTGCCTGAAATAAACAGTCGTTTAATCACACAAAGTCTAATGAGACTGAACAAGCCACAGATCAGGATAGTAACAAGTGCTATCACAGGACACGGCAACTTTAACAAGCATTTATTTACTATAGGTGTTACAGATAGTCCCCTGTGCAGGGCATGTCTGGGGGAAGAAGAAATGGCGGCCCATGTGATATTGAAATGTCCAGAGGTTGCTATGTACAGGGCTAAACATCTCGGCACGCCGAGATCACTCCCCGAAGTTGCATGCAACATCAAAGGACTGTTGAGCTTCTTCGGGGAGATCTCATAACTCGAATAAGCATATTATTCCTGCCCACACGCAAAATATGTGTATAGATGTGGAGTTGCGGAAATCAGCCCATTGTAAACTATACTAAACTAAGACCCAGATACACTAGGGGCCATTTTGTCCCACAAGATGATGTGGAACACTCAATCTACATGACGATGCTACATTGCACAGTGACCCAGAACATTGTAAGTGACATGGGACATGTAGCTTGTTCCCTCTCTGAGAGAGAGTGCACGTATCCGGCATCAGTGTCACATCATTTGTTACCGGGTGTAGTTGTGTGTACAAGTTTACTTGCAACATGTCAGTTGTGTGGGGAAATTAAACCGTGCTTTTACTTCTTGAACTTTACCAGTGTCGTGTTTTGTTATGGGATACTTCTAACCACTAATTTCTGGTGCTATTCTGCCGATCAGTTGTTTCAACACTCGAAAAGTGTATGACAAAGAAGCATATAAAACTCTAGTCAACAAGTATCTTAATGCAATGGCAAGTCTGATACCGATATGAGGGCAACAGCATTCCATAGTATAGTATCCTGTTTGGTTATGGAAGGTCCGATCATTTGTTATAACGTTTCAAAATCAGATGTTGACATTTGAGTAAAATTCTATTAAAACCAAAAATACATAAGTATGTGATACATACTAAATATACATTTTCATTTCAATGCTACACAATAAGTTTGGTAATTATGGTTATCCCAACACACCAAAGAGCTACAAAGAAAAAAATTTTATAATAAAATAATTTCTAACAAATCCTTTACTCTGTTTCATACTGCTTACTCGAGTTAACTCGAGTTGTAATTTTTCCAAATTGGCACATCTATACGATATATCGTCGATATTTTAAATCGCGATATATGGATCTTTATTTTCGAGTATCGAATTCGTAACAGTTTGGATATATTTTAAAATGTTGTATTAATGACAAAACATGTAAACAACAAAAGGAGGTACATATGAATTCATATGTGGTTGGTTGCAGTTTCCTTTTTCGTCGTCAAACCGTCAATAATATAAAATTATGAACCTAATCTTTACACCATGCATATCGATATTTATCACGCGATATATATCGACACTGTTTAAAATAATCGATGCGATTTTTTCCTTATCTATCCATTAGCCCAGCGCCCACATTTTTTTAATAACTGGCTTTACGGCTCTGGGTTCTAGCCCTTCTGGTCCTGAAGTGCCAATATATAATTATCCTTCATAGTACACTGCTTCGCAATCTGTTGATGCGTCACATTTTGCAGCCTTTGGGAGATTTTAACGGCAACTTGAGCCAGCAGACAGCTGACAGTTGGCGATGGCATCTCAAGGCGCCTAAGCAGACAGACACCTTATTTTAAGAATCACATCACTATCAGAGCAGTTGTTTCACCGTTTACTACCGTCTACTAATAGTTCACATGCGTTGTAGTAGTTCACACTTAATACACAAAATCGCACCACTTTTACATATCAAAATCCACTTGAAACCATTATTTAAACAATAATACAGTAGCAGCAAACTGCTGCCATAGATATAGTATTAAACTCGTAGACAGAGAAATATAGATAGACAAGACCTCAGCGTATGCCAGTAAGAGATAGCGATAGTTGGCCAAAGTACATTACTACAATTACATGTAATTTAAATTGACATTCTTAGACATTTACCACCATTGTGTGGGTAATCTAGTTCTTTTTATTTCGGTTGTTCTACGTCAACTACTAATTTAAGTAAGTTTATTTTCTATGGGGACGTATTTATGACTATTTGACTGTGCGCGAACTGAATAACTCCGGGATGAACATTAAGCGCGAAGAGAAATGAGTTGTAATGATCAGTTTATTACAATTTATCTAAGATATCCTCTCAGAAGCCAATTTACATAATTTAGGACCGGGTTTAGTAAGCTCGTGGGGCTTTCGAGTGTTTATTCTATATTTATAGCTCAACATGTAAATAGTACAATTAAATAAATCATAATCAACTCATAGCCCCAAATGCATTCAGTTCGCGCAAGTCGTCCCTTGCCTAACCTAACCTAACCAATTTTTTTTTTTCGTGGGGAAAAATCATGGATACCTCCGGCTGCGGGGGCAACCGGAAGGTTATGCCGGACTCCTACCGGCTAAAACCCCACGGTGCCTCCTCGCACGTGCGCGTGGGGCCGCGGGAATCCAAAATTCTTCCGCAGCCCCACACTAGTGCTGGCCCGGTCTGTCCGGGCCTCGTCTCCTGCTCGGGGTAGCGAGGTGTTCAGCTACCCCTCTCCACAGCCTCCAACTCCACCTGCGTATAGGACCCCCCCGATCCGATACGCGGAGGCCATGGGGCCCGGACGGTAATTTAGATATATCACCGGATAAGTTTGACAGAGACGGTAATAAGTATGTAAACATGATGGCAATGTACGGGTTTGTTCAAGGTGTCGACCTTCAAACAATAGGTGACTCTTGTATTGATTGTTTTATGATAAAATGTAATAATTGGAATACTGTTGTTTATAATGAACTAACACACCATTCAACTATTTTACTATATATGGAAAATACACCCATGACCAATAACAAAATGGTTTGTAATAAAATATCCATAGACTTTGAAAACATGAGCCACTACCTTTTCCTCCTTGACTTAGAATGTGCAGGGCCGGCCCTAGCCATTATATCCTACTAATTTTGAATTTTTGAAGTTTGTAAGGTATGTTAGAATGTATGGATAGATGTTTGTTACTCTCCCACACATAAACTACTGAATGGATTTTGGATTACTGAGTAATTTTTGGTCGGAATAAACCTCATAGCTAATGCAATGAATCAGATTTTAAGTAAAATCTGAAGGTAGCAACCATCAATTATGGTCATGAGTATTGTTTGGTTTTTTATGAGTTATTAGGTAACATTTTCTGAAATCTACTTTTAATTTCAATAAACTATACTATGCAAAATACCAAAAAAAATATTTTAATACAGTTTTAGTTGTAACTGGTTTTAGTATTTGGATTTAAATTTCAAAGTGCCAATCGTTGTATGAGAGCCAGAAACGCCATAGTTTACCTAAGTATATTGTCAAAAAAAGTGATAGTATAAATATAAGTGAGTATCTGTAATATAAGTGAAATATAAAATATAGAAAAAAATTACATTAACTTATTTCATAAAAAGTAGCAATTTCATAGGTAAAGACTTAATACCTATAATTCTGGAGTGGTAGCCCCATACTGGTAAGCAACTGGTAGAGTGGCCCCCCACTAGATAGTGCCAATCTGATAAGACAGGAAGTCGATGGAGGTAGGTGGCTTAGGAATGTGTTGTTGCAGTGACGATGATTCACTAGATGGTAGGACTTTTTTTACTTATTTCTGCCACCAAGCAGCAGTATGTGTCCCAGTGTGAAGGACATTAAGAGCCAGTATAATAACAGGCTGTGATGCGTTACATTGTAGTCCTCTGAGGTAACATCGCATGTGTAGTCTTTGGTTGAAGTTCGTTGTGGGTGCCCATGGGCTGCAGTAGCCACTTACTATACCGAGGATTATAAGTTAGTTTTTCACTTCAATATTATAAAAAAAATTATGTTGATGAGAATTGTGGTAGCCAATAGAGTTTTGGTTTATTTTCCATATTTATTACGAACTTTCATATTTTCAGATGGATGAGAATGAGGGGCCCATAATTGTCTGTTTGACCTGTCATGCAAGACTCATTCGTTGCAGAAGATTACAACAACAAGCTGTAGAATCAAATACAGTTCTGGAGCAGTTGCTTGCAGGAGGGTCCATGGTATTATCCATTCCATCCATTAAAACCTATTAAAGACCACTGGTTAACATAGCTAACTTCATAGTAGGGATTTTGCCAAATTTACACGCTTGGCAGGTTGGCAACCGCAGCTTTTATTAGTCTGACTTGTTATCAGGAAACTGCTGCCCAACTCCTGTTTCTGTTTCCCTCTGTCGCCGCTTACGACACCCGTCCCGTGGGTAGGTATATAGGGTAGCGGACATTCTTACACTGTCACTACACGGTCCACGGTATTATACTTGTTATTGATAAAAGTTCACTGCTTAACCACGGCTATCTCCAGATTAAAAATTATTAATTTTTGTTGTTTGTTAACTATGACATTGGGATGTCATACACCTCAGTCCCCCCCGTGACCATGGGTGCTGTAAAGTGCTTGAAACGTCGGGAATATAAAATAAGTTAATATACGCGATAAAATTCGTAAAATTAGTTTTATTTAAAACTGTAAATGATTACCAATTCTAAAGAATTGATATCGATTTTTCTAAAGAATCGAATATTGTACGTACCGATTTTTGGTTGGCATGCCTAGTCCAATTAAACAAAGTTTATATCAAAATAATATAAAGGAATTTATGGATGGCAATAACCCTTGGATGTGGTGATCGCTACCAAGTTATTTCTAATTTGTTTTGTGTGATTAATTGTGCATACATGATTGTATGCTGTTACTTACAAAAGAGGCCCACTGGGTTTCTTGCTGGTTCTTTCCAGGACAGAGGTTTTTTTCGAACCAGTGGTAATTAAACATAAGAGTGACTTTCAATAAGTATTATTTATAATCTATATTGAATAAAAAATTCTGTTTCTGTAACCCTACTTAGCCATCAAATTCAGCATTATTTTTTAGACTGACAAATATCTCTGGTTGGGTTGGAATCCCAAGTGCATTTTGACCAGCAGTGCTATTGTGGAAATTTGGTGAGAATCATGGTTAGCTCAGTTTTAATGTTCAATATTTGATTTCATTATATTGTGTAAAGGTATCAGTATAGATTAGATTATAAGCTGACATCTTTTTCATAAATATAAGGGTATTTTGTGAGCAAAGACCCCATTAAGTATAAAAATGTTGATGCCTTGTCACCCATAAGGACTAGGAGGGAATGCTTCAGTAGTTGTAAAAAAGGGTGTCCGGTTCTCTACACTTACAATATGAAACAGCAGCATCAAGCTGCTATTTCTCGTTGGTAGTTTGTGAGAGCGCAATCCTGTTTTATCTTAATAGCACCTACGATTACCACTGGCGAATTCAGTTCCTGCATGAACCAAGATAATTGGAAGGCCTATAAATAAACATTTTTACTCTAATGTTTGTTCGGGTGCAATCAAAGAAAAAAATTTTGTATGTACAGTAGGTACATCTCAAATTACTATTTTTTGATACAGGCAAATCCGTACATTGCACATGAATCCCTCTTTATTTTACCAATGTACCATGTAACTACTTGCCATTAGGTAAACTGTACCTTATTTTAATAACATCAAAGAATATGTATATAACTTGCCTGTTTCTTGATTCTCATTTTCTTCTAATTTGGAATTTTCATTTTCGATAATCTCTTCCTCAACTTTAATGGAATCCAGGATAAAAATTTCGTCCTTACAATCACTTTCTATATCACACTCTACTGGCCTGATATCAATATGACAAATTGGTGTGAATTGAATCTCATCTCTAGCCTCATGCTGTTTAGGTATTGACTGAAACCAATTTTTTTTAAATAAGTGTAAAAATCCAGTGTAGTGGTGGGATAGGAGAATCCATACTGCCCCATGCCATCCAGCAGGTATCGTAAAACGGGACAGAGGGAAACTGAAACATATGGGCCGCAGCATCTTCCTGACAACGACAAATAATAATAAAACCAGACAAAACTAAGGGTTCTGAATAAACTTAAACAAGAATGTAGATAGTTCATCCTTCCAATTCATATTTACGAATGCCGTAAATTTGATAAAGATCTGTCTTTGTTCGTTGAGT